TAAATCAATTATTTTCATAAATAATAAAATTCTTTGCAGATATTCAATTATTTTCAAAACTTGTAATAAAATTCTTTGCAAAACTTCAATTATTATCATAAATAATAAAATTTTGTTTAAAAAAATTCATAAAAATATTTATAATATTCTTTAAAACAATTTTCTTAAATTCTTTATGAGAATTGAATTTTAGAAATAATCTACTATTTTATCAATTATTATTTATTTTTGTATTTGAAATTTTTAATTATTCAATTCTCGAAGAATTTTCTAATAAGAATTAATTTAAAAATGATTTTAAGTTAAAATTTTAGAAAGGATTGAATTAGTTATATTTTTTAAAATGAATTTAATTAATTATTAAAAATAATGGATTTATTAAAGAAGAATTTTATTTAAAAACACTTAAAAAAATTGAATTTTTGAGAATTTACAAATTATTGCAGAAGTTCAATTATTTTCAAAAGTAATAAAATTCATCTTAGAAATTAAATTATGTTCAAAAATTTTTTAAAATCTCGTCAAAATTTCATATATCTTTATAAATAATAAAATTCTTCACTGAAATTCAATTATTTAATTCTTGGCAATATTTCAATTATTTTCAAAAATTTTCCTCAATTCAATGATTTTCAATATCTACTGGTTTTAATAATTATATTTTTCATAAGAATTCAATTATTTAAAAAAATTTTGATAAAATTCTACGTAAACATTTAATTATTTTCATAAATAATAAAAAATTTTAGCAGAGATTCAATTATTTTTATAAATAATAATATTCTTTCTAGGAATTCAATTATTTTCATATAAATAATAAAACTCAACGTAGAATTTCAATTATTTTAAATACAATTTTAATCGAATTCCGCTAAAAATGTAATTATTCTTAAATATTTTATTAAAATTCGTGGAAAGAATTTAATTATTTAAAAATTTGTTGATAAAATTTTTGATGAGAATTTAATTTTAATAAACATTCAATTATTGAAGAGGTAAATTAATTATTTTTGTATTTAAATAATTGAATTCACGTAGAATTTTCTAATAAAATTGAGTTAAAAATAAATTTTATTAATAATATTTAGAAAATTGTTAAATTCTTCTCAGAATTATAAAACAATTTTTTTTAAATAATTCAATTCATTGAAGGAAATGTAGTAAAATATTAAAAATAATTGAATTCTTTCAAAGAATTTTTAATTTTTTTAATATAATCGATTCTGTTAATAATTATAATTAAAAATTTATTTCTTATATATTTTATTGAAATTGTCGATAAAAAAAATTCTTTTGAACAATTTTTTAAGAGTATTTTTTAAAAATAATTTTAATTAGAAAAATGAAAAAGTTTGACTATTAGATTTTATTACAAAACTTTATAAAAACAATTTAATTCTTTTAAGAATTTTATTAAAATTTTATGAAAATAACTGCATTTTTTTGAAAAAAATTTATAATTGTACGGAAAATAATTGAATTTATGCAAAGAAATTTATTATTTAGGATAAAAATAATTGAATTCTTTGGAGAAATTTTATAAAAAATTTACTGAAAATAATTGAATTCCTGAGAAGAATTTTTATTATTTAAAAAAAATATTTTATTGTTTGCGAAGAATTTTACTATTTATAAAAATATTTTGTTAATTTGTTAATCAATTTTTTTCTACCAGATTCTCAATTTTTTTGGAAAAAAAAAATTTGTGTAATTTCTAGTTTTTAATCACAATTTTTTAAAGAAAATAATAATTTTTTTTAGAAATTGAATGAAACAAATTTGCATAATTTAATTTAATTTAATTTAATTTAATCTAAAAAAATAAAAGTTTTGTAAAAAAATTGTCTCTGAAAATCGAAATTGTTTAATTATTTCTAAAATAAAATCAAAAATTATTTACAATGATATTAAATATTATTATAAAAAATTTAATTCATAGAAACAGAATAAAAATGAGGGAAAAAATTAATTCTTATATGATTTTCAATTGGTTTTTTAAAATCTTTATTGTTAGATATGCTTTCTTGTTTTTACCGATCAAGATAATAATCTGTTATATTCATGAAGTACGAGTTTGAAATTTTTATACAATAAACAACTTTTATTTAGTTACATAATATTCGCCTAAGTTTTTTTTTTGTTTTGTGTTTGAAATTTACTTTTTAAAGTCCCTGATTTATTATTTAATTGTTTTTTTCTTTTGTTTTGTTTTAATTACTTAATTAATTGTTTTGTTGTTTAATTACAATGCACACATTTATACAGTTCTTCTTCTAGAGCGATATTGAAAATAATTTAACAGTAATTCATTTTTCCTATTTAGATATTTATCATTATTTAAAAAATTATTTCTGTAATTAATTATTGATCATCGTTTATTGTATTAAAGAGTTATTAACCCTCGTACTGTCATTTTTTTTTTCTTTTTTTTTTGCAGAATTCATTATTATTGTTAGGATCATCTAGGAATCAATTTTTTTTTTTTTGTAAATATTGTCATTCGTCAATATTTTAGTTTAAAAGTTACAACATTTAAGAGAAGCGTGAATTTATTGACTAGATTTTTATTTTCATTTAATTTTTTTAATTTTTTTTTATTGGATTTTAATCCAATATTCGAGGGTTAAAAACAAATTTGCCATTTACAATGTAACCAGGCAAATTTGCTTTGTTAAAAAAAATTTAGATATTAATTAACGTATTTGTTTTCTAATAAAAGATCTCTCGCTGTCTTTTGTTATACATATTTTTTAATAGGAGAATGAGATTAAATTTTTATTACATATCAGTATTTTTTTGGGGGGAAATTTTTCTAAAAACGACAGCGATAGATCTATATTTAATAATTAGAGAAATTAATTAAGACTGAATAATTAGCGATTTTTATCACTCACAGCAGTCCAGGGCACACTTTTAAATTCACTAATGGTATATAACAATTATATATTCATACAAGTTTTTTTTTTAATTTTATACACGTTCCTCAATTTTTCTTTGAAGTCTCTTTTTATAAATTAGGAAATCATTCTATAATTGCACATGAAATTAAGAATAATTTGTTTTTTTTTTCTAGTAAATACCGCAGATACTTGGTAACTGTCGAATTTTTTTTTTTACATTTCTATACCAAACAGAGAAATCTTTCATCTCAAAACATTTAAAATTAGTAAAATGTAGTAACAAACTCATTCTAAAAAACACGATAAATTTATTAATTAATAAATTAATTTCTAATCGGTCCCAAATTGATTAATATTTAAATAGATTGGACTAGATTTTTTTTTTACTTCAAACTTTTTGTTGATAAATTTATTTTCATCACAAAAAGCTTCTTTAAATTTTTATTGCAACTTGTTTGGGGTTATTTTACCGAATATTTTCCCATAAAAAAAATTCAAAATCCTTCTGGTGCTTCTTTGATTTCTAAAGAATTAAATTATGTTTGTAAAAAAGAAAAATCTTTTCAGGATTTCAATTATTTTATAAATATACAATTTTAATTGAATTCCTCGAAGAAATTCGAATATATTTTCAAAAATAATCAAATTCTACTCAAAAATTCAATTACTTAAAAAAAATTGAATGATATTCTCTATTAAAATTCAATTATTTTTAATAAAATTTAAATAGAATTTCACGAAAAAATTCAATTATTTTGAAAAATTTAAATAAAATTATTTTTAAGAACTTATTTATTTCTATAGATGATAAAATTCTTCACATAAATTCAATTATTTTTAATACAATTTTAATTGAATTTCTTTAAAGAATTTAATTATTTATAAAAATTTGAATATAATTCTTCGCATAAATTTAATTATTTTCAATATAATTTTTAAAAAACTTGTTTGAAGAGAATTCAAATATTAAAAGAAAAATTTAATGAAATTCTTCTCAAGAATTCAATTATTTTGTAACAAAATTATTCATAATTTTAGTAAAATTTTGTATTAAGAATATAACAATTTCTCTGAATTTGAGTAAAATTGTATTGAAAATAATTCCATTCTTACACAAAATTTTTAAACATTTTTGAAAATAATTAAATTTCTCTAAAGAATTATTTTTATTTTTGAATAAAAGTAATTGAATTCATACAAAAAATTTTATTAGGATTCTATGTATAAAATAAACGAATTTCTTTAAAGAAATTTATTATTGATGAAAAGAATTGAATTATTGTGAAGAATTTTTTATTTTTTGAAAAAATAATTGAATTATTACAAAAATTTTGTAAAAATTTCTAAAAATAATTGAATAACTCTGAAGAATTTTTTTTACTTATTAAACTGAGTAATTAAATTACTAAAAAAAATTTTATTAAAATTATACTTATAATAAATGAATTTCTGTGAATAATTTGATTTATTAAGAAAATAATTGTATTCTTGCAAAGAATATTATTATTAATGAAAATAATTGAATCCTTGCGAAAATTTTTATTTCGTAAATTTTTGAAAATAATTGAATTCTTGCAAAGAATTCTATTAAAACTTTTAAAAATATTTAAATTCTTTTAAGAATTTTAATCAAAATGTTTCTAAAATCATTGAATAATTGTTTTAAAGAATGTTATAAGAATTGTCATGAATTTTTCTTAAGAATTTTAATATTTTTGAAAATATATGAAGTAGAATTTATCACTCGGTCGAAATTTATATATGTGAGAAGAAATCATTCTTTCCGAGTCAAATAAATTTAAATAATATTTTTTGAAAATAGTTGAATCTTTGTGAACAATTATATTATTTATGAAAATAATTGAATCCTTGTGAAGAATTTAAGTTTTTGAAATTGTTTGTAAGTTTTTGAAAACATTTAAATTCTTGCAAAGAAATTTTTTCGTAAATTTTTGAAAATAATTGAATTCTGATAAAGAATTTTATTTAAATTTTTGAAAATAATTGAATTTCCCACAGAGAATTCAAATTAATTTTTTTTTCTATAAATAATACAAAAATAAATAAATTAGTATTCTTTGTGAAAAAGAAAGTTAGTCAAGTAATTTTAAAATTGTTTCTGAAAAGCTCAAAAATTGAAAATAGAAATAAGCACCTGAAGTTTTTTTGAATTTTTCCTCTTGGAAAATATTTAGCGAGTCGCTCCAAACAAGTTGCAGTAGAAATTTTCCAAGGGAAGCAATAACTTTATGTTTGAAATTGGTTCCAGGGTCCGTACACACAATGACAAGTTAGTGCGTATCTGCTGGTTAAATAAAACAATAAAACCCGTCAGTCGTTTGAGAATTATTCTCTTTTTTTGGGTTTTCTTTTTTTTTAAACACTTTTTCACTACATTATACGTATATTATTAAAAAAAAAAAAAAATGAAATTCTAGGGGAAAGAAAAAATTGTTTTCTATATAATAATTATACTCGATTGTTATTATATAAAAATATTCTTCGCGAATTTGGAAACACCGCGCTTATGTTCCTTGCGATTGACGCGAATAAGAAATGCAAGTGCTCTGATCCCATGTTATTCGAGGAGATCCAGTTCTTTTCTTAGAACCCGAGGCCTTGGATCAGTTGAAGAATTCGTCGTCGTCAAATGGATCATTCTCACGTGCAAAAATGTTGACTGATTCAGACTTTTTGATATATTGGTCACTCTTTATTTTGTTACTAGTATATTTATTTGTTCGTGAATTCTTCAATGTTGATTTCTCCTCGGATATTTGATCTTCTAATTCAGAACGAAATGTGAATGCATCGTCGTCGAAACGTTGATCGCCATTGAAAAAACTGTCCCTATTACTATTTGTTTCATCATTGGGAAATGTGTCTGTTGTTTCTTTTGTAATGTCCGATGGTAATTCCTCGGGTGTTGCTTTGAGTTCGGACGAAAGTCTTGGACGATCGGAAGCATCGCTCGATGCACTTGCTGTTGGTGTGAGATCGTCTTCAAAGTAACTTGATGACTTGTAATTTTTTCCTTGTTTTCCAGGTTCTTTCACATTCTTTGGACTTGGGGATTTTTTGATGTTCACTTCGACGCGTGTTCGCGATTCAGTGTTCAGGGAATCGGCTGATGGCTCACTGCGTTCCATTGGTTGTGTGAAGTCGTCCTCGAATGGTGAATTTTGGGATAATATCGCTTGGACTCGCGTTCTGTGCCTATTGATGCGCCTCTTGTGGAATGAATCATTTTTTGCGTCTGCACCCTCTGACCAATAGGGACGCTCGCCCCAACTGTCGAATTCTTGATCACTGCCCCAGTAACTGTCGCGACTTCTTGATCTGTGAGGTCTGTGATATGGATCGGAATCATTGTCGCTGCACTCTGACCTTGACATTGAATATATTGGTGGTCCTGCACAATAGACTTCTTGATTTCGTCCGTCGTTTGCACTGTTTGGTCTTTTTGGCCAGTGTCTCTTTCGTGAGGCGTATCTAAAAAAATTCAAAGAATTGTTTCGTTAGACGAAAAATAGTTATTATTTTTCTACCAATTGTTTCACTAGAAGAAAAATAGTTATTTTTCTACCAATTGTTTCACTAGAAGAAAAATAATTATTTTTCTACCAATTGTTTCGTTAGACGAAAAATAGTTATTTTTCTACCAAGGGCATAAAATAGATGATTTTATTTGAAAGAAAATTCGAAATAGTAATTTTTTCGAAATTTTATTCAAGCAGGACTGTCAGAAAAATTTAATTTTGATTTTTCCTGACTTCCAGACCAAATTTTGCCTTCTTCTCTGAACCTAAAGAATATTCTGATTCATTCTAAAAATAATTAGATGCTCAAAAAAATTTTCTATTACATTTGTTTACGAATTTCTTTAATTAGAAAATTATGCGAAAACATCAATAACTTCTTTCTTAAATAAATATTTAATCATTATTTTTTTCCATAGGAAAAAAGGTTTTTAAATTCAAACCATTTTGAAATTCAACAACTTATGAGAATATTATTATAAAACAAGAAGAAATTGATCACTTTCAATAATCAAAAGTAATCAATATTTCAAAAGTAATCAATTTCTTCTTGTTTTCTAATAATTAAAGATGACCGAGTAATAAAATCACTATTTTATATTATAAGAATATTGTTACTGTAACTTCTTCAAAATTATTTTCATCACTTCAATTCAATTATTATTTTCTAGATTTTTTAAAACTAAAATTCTTCTTTAATTCAATTATTTTAAATAATTTTTGACAAAGTTCTTTGATAATTTTCAAGTCCATTTGTTTACAAATCAATTTTTTATTGAAATTTCCATTATTCGGAAATTCTGCAATTAAATATCTATTAGAAAATAAAAACTTGAAATAATTTCAAAAGAAATTCAATTCAATTTTTCAAAAAAATTAATTCTACGCAGAATTTTTAGTTAAAAGTATTAAAAATTCAAATTTTCAAATATTTTAATTTGAAACCTTTCCAAAATTCAATTATTTCTAAAAATTCACGCTATATTGATTTAAATATTCAATTATTATCTAAAATTAAAACTGAAATTAATTTTTAAATCAATTTTTATTAGAAAATTCCACGAGAATTCAATTATTTAAAATTTAAATACAAAAATAAATGATTTATTCAATAATTAAATGTTTCTCAAAACTGAATTCTCAAAAAAAATTTGATCAAGGCAATTTTAAATAATTGAATTCTTTAGACGAATTTAAAAACAATTTTTAAGAATAATTACATTTATTAAGAAATTCGATTAAAATTGTATTAAAAATAATTGAAATTCTGCCATGAGTTTCATTCGTTATGAAAATAATTGAATTATTGTAAAAAAAATTTTTTGAAAAATTTAATTATGCAAATAATTGAATTCTTTAGAAGACTTTAAAAGAAAATTTTAAGAATAATTACATTTATCGAGAAATTCGATTAAAATTGTATGAAAAATAATTGAAATTCTACAATAAGTTTTATTATTTATGAAAATAATTGAATTTTTCTAAGAATGTTATTAAAAATTATTGAAAATAATTGAAATTTTGAGAAAAATTTTATTATTTATGAAAATAATGAATTACTGAGAAGAAATTTAGAAAAAATTCGTAAATAATTGAATTTCGGAGAAAAATATTATTATTTATGCAAATAATTGAATTTCTGCGAAGAATTTTATTACTTTTGAAAATAATTGAATTTCTGCAATCATTTGTAACTTGTCCAAAGTTCAATTTTTTAAAAATGTTTTTAATTAAAATTCTTCTATAAATACATTATTTTTAATAATTTATGAAATATTTATTTAAAAATGTAACAAATTCAATTCTTTTCTAAAATTTTAACTTAATGGTATTTTTAAACCAATTCCTATTAGAAAAGTCTTTGAGAATAGAATAATTTAAATACAAAAATAAATAATTGATATAATAGTAGAAATGATTATTTCTAAAATTCAATTATCATAAAGAATTTAACAAAATTTTCGAAAATAATTGAATTCTTCGACGAACACAAACAAAATTGTATTGAAAATAATTGAAATTTAGCAAAAGGATTTTATTATTTATACATATAATTGAATTTTTAGTTTATTAATTCTTTTAAATAATTAAATTCCTGCCGGAAAATTCCTTTGAAGAATTTTTTTTTATTTGTGAAACAATGAATTTTATTATTAATAAAAATAATTGAATCCTTGCGAAAAAATTTTTTTTAGTAACTTTTTCCAAAGAATTCTATTAAAAGTTTTGAAAATATTTAAATTCTTTCAAGAATAAATTTTATTATTTCTAAAAGTAATTGAATTCTTAATATTGAATTTTTTTTTCAAATTATTGAAAATAATTGAATTTGATGAATTTGATTTGATGAAAAGAATTGAATTCTCGTAAAGAATTTTATTACGTTTGAAAATAATTGAATTATTTTCAAACCTTTATTTAAATTTTTTCGAAAATATTCAAATTCCTCTGAAGAATTTTGTAACTAAAAAAATAATTCTTGCGAAGAAATTTTTTTAGTAAATATTTAAAAAAAAATTGAATTCTTAATTCTTAATATAAAGTATTATATTTGAATTTATTGAAAACTATTCAATTTTCCGCGGAGAATTTTAAATAAGTTTTTAAAAAAATAATGGGATTCTTGATAAGAAATTTTATTAGTAAAATAATTGATTGATTATTAATTTTATTATTGATTTTTTAGTTTTAGTAAAAATAATTAATTTTTTAGTTTTAGTAAATGAGTGCGAAGCCTGAAGCTTCGCACTCATTTTCTAAAAATAAAAAAATCAATTATTTTTACTAAATAAAATTTCTTCTCAATTTTTGATAGTATATTTTGATTGCAGAGAAAATTGCTCACCTTGGAGAATCATCCGTCCGATCAGGAACATAATCCTCCTCCCATGCCGGTGGATAATCATAATGCCTCGCCTCCCTCGGATAATAAGGTTCATGCTTCCCATACATACCCCTACAGAATGTCCCATCAGCCTCCCATCTCCTCCTCTCATACTCCCGTCTCGACCATCTCTCCTCATCCTCATAACCCATACTCTCCTGACTACTAAATCTCTCCCTACTGTCTCGCTCCTCGTTCCACAGCATCAGTCTTCTCTTATTCCGCTCCTCACCATAATAAGGATCGTCATGTGGCCAAAAACCCTCTCGCTCACCATTCCAAGGCCTCTGTTTGTGTCTGCACTTCCAATACGCCGCCTTATACTCCTCCTCATCCTTATAGGGAATCTTCCTGTGAAGATGCCTCTTCCTCTCCTCCTCCCATCGAGCATCCTCATGCCACGGCTGCTCATGAACTCTATGCCCCGGCTTAGTCCAAGGCACCCCCCCACCTCTCACCTTCTTTCCCACTTTATCCCGAAAACTTCCTCTCTCCTTATCGCCCTGCTCTCCTTCCTCATAGTATCCACCCTCTTCATAGCCCGGATACATCGGATACCTTCCGAAACCCTCACGATATCTTCCATTACTCTCCTCACTCTCCTCCTCGTCCTTCCATTCATTATCACTCTCCCCCGAGTGTCTTTGCGCCGGCCTCTGCGGCTCCTTATAAAATTCCTTTCCATCCGGCGACCAAGGCGACGTCCCACCCACCGAACCATGATTCTCTGAAAACACAACATTAGAATCGAATTTCGCCCAATTCTCCTCGTCCTTCTCTTTTGGATTCTTCGTCTCCGTGAGCGGACAGAATATGTCCTCGAAAGCCATTGTTTTATTGACCAGTGTCGGCGTCTCGACATTCAGCATTTTTATCTCCTCGAAAATGTCCATCACCTTCTTTGGATTATTCTTCGGCGGTAGTTTAGGCGGCGTGTCACTGAAGAGGCTCATCAGGTCCACTTCCGTCGCTCTAGTCGGCGATGCTGCAACCTCCGTCGTTCTGGCCTTAACCTCCGTTGTTCTACCTTTCCCCTCCGTGGTTCTAGCCTTAATCTCCGTCGTTCTAATCAACGACTCTCTCACCTCTGTGGTTCTAGTCGGCGACACAACCTCCGTCGTTCTACTCTTAATCTCCGTTGTTCTAATCGGCGAAGACCTCTTAAAATCCGAAGGCGATTTTCTGAATTCAGACGATGATTTTTGTCTTTTGAATTCAGTAGGTGATTTTTTGAACTCTGACGATGATCGTCTAAATTCCCCTGGGGATTTTCGAAATTCTGACGGTGATTTTGACGATCTTTTGAATTCCGGTGGGGAGATTTTGATCTCCGAGGTTTTTAGGGGCGAAGTGATGTAATTCGTTGAGTCGAGTTCGATTTCCAGGGGTGCTTGCTCGGAGGAGTCGATTATTTCCCTGAGGGCCGCGTACCTATCACTCGATGTCGAGGTCGACTGTTTGATTTCGATTTTGTCGGGGGTTTCCAAATTCTCTGGTCCGCTTCCTTCTCCGCTTCCTCCGTTTGGCGACGATTCCTTATCGGACGTTTCGAATTTGTTTTCTAAGTTTCTCTCGGCGTACCTCGCCCTCTGCTCTTCCTCATTGGTGTCTTTCACGATGTCTCTGTATCGTCCTGGAACGATTACGTCGCAATTAAAATATTTAGAATTTCGATAGTTTACATAAAATTATTTTCAACAAAATCTAAGTTTTTTTTTTTTTTACTAAGTCCGTAAAATCTGTAAAGGGCCGCAAATTTGCTTGAAGTCCGTAAAAGTCAGTATTTTTGAAAAAAAGATCCGTAATTTGATTGAGAAAATGACGAAAAGTTCGTAAATTGTACTATTCAATTTGGAGAATTTTAGAAAAATTACAAATAATTGCAGAAATTCAATTATTTTCAAAAGTAATAAAATTCTTCGCAAAAATTCAATTATTTCCAATTCAATTATGTTCAAAAATTTTCCTCAATTCAATGATCTTTAATATCTACTGTTTTCATAAAATTTTCTAAAAGAATTCAATTATTCAAAAAAAAATTTTTAATAAAATTCTTCGCAAAACTTCAATTATTTTTATAATATATTAACAATTTTTTATAATAATCTTTAAAACAATTTAATGATTTCCAATAAAATTCTGATTAAATTTCTTGAAAGAAGTTGAATATTTGTAAAGGTTTTAATGATATTGCAAGAATTCAATTCTTTTCATCAATAATAAAATTCTTTCAAGAGATTTAATTATTTTCAAAAATAATAAAATACATAAAAGAAATTCAATTATTTGAAACAGTGTTTAAATAAAACTTCTTGAAAGAATTTAAAAATTCAGCGAAACGTCAATTATTTTCATAATTTAATTATTTTTACAAATTATAATAAATTTTCCGACAGGAATTTAATTATTTAAAAAAAAATTAATAAACTAAAAATTCAATTTATTGCACAAATTATAAAAATTCTTTGCTGGATTTCAATTATTTTCAATACAATTTTGATTGTATTCGTCGAACAATTCAATTGTTTTCAAGAATTTTGTTAAATTCTTTATGAGAAATAAATTTTAGAAATAATCTACTATTCTATCAATTATTTTTTTTTTGTATTTAAATTATTCAATTCTCGAAGAATTTTCTAATAAGAATTGATTTGAAAACGATTTTAAATAAAAATTTGTAGAAAAGAATTGAATTTGTTACATTTTTAAATATATGTTTAAGTAATTATTGATAATAATAGATTTATAGAAAAATTTTAGTTAAAGACACTAAAAAAAATTGATATTTTGAGAAATTACAAATGATTGCAGAAATTCAATTATTTTCAAAAGTAATAAGTTGACTTTTTGCAGAAATTCAATTGTGTTCAAAATTTTTTTTAAATTCTCATAAAAATTACAATTAATCTTTATAGATAATAAAATTCTCCGAAATTCAATTATTTTCAAAAATGTTAATACAATTCCTGGCAAAAGTTCAATTATTTTTAAAAATTTTCCTAAATTTAATGGTTTTTTAATATCTACTATTTTAATCAAATTTTCCAAAAGAATTCAATTATTTAAAAAAAATTTTAATAAAATTGTACGCAAACTTTCTATTGTTTTTATAAAATAATAAAAATTTCACAGGAATTCAATTGTTTAAATTTTTTTTATAAATTTCTTCCCAAAATTCAATTATTTTCATAAATAATAGACTTTTTCCAAGATTCAATTATTCTCAAAAATAATAAAATTCTTTTTAGGAATTCAATTATTTTCATAAATAATAAAACTCATTACAGAATTTCAATTATTTTTAAAACAATTTTAATCGAATTCCTCGAAAAATGTAATTATTCTTAAAAATTTTATTAAATTTTTGTCAAAAGAATTCAATTATTTAATAATTTGTTGACAAAATTCTTTATGAAAATTCAATTTTCAGAAACATTCAATTATTCAATAAATTATTTATTTTTGTATTTAAATAATTGAATTAAAAAAATTAAAATTTTCTAATAAAAATTGATTTAAAAATTAATTTTAGTTATAATTTTAGATAATAATTGAATATCAAAAGCATTATAGCGTAAATTTTTAGAAATAATTGAATTTTGAAAAGGTTTCAAATTAAAATTTTTGAAAATTTGAATTTTCATTTTTTTAATTAACAATACAATTCATTTTTTTAAATAAGTTAAATTGCGGATTTTTTTAAAGTAATAAAATTCTTCGCAGAAATTCAATTTTAATTAAATTCCTCGAAAAGTGTAATTATTCTTAAATTTTTTTTAAAATTTTGTCAAAAGAATTCAATTATTTAAAAATTTATTTATAAAATTCTTTATGAGAATTAAATTTTGAAAAACATTTAATTAATCAATAATTTAATTATTTTTATATTTAAATAATTGAATTGTATTAGAAATTTATAAAAAAAAATTTATTTAAAAATGAATTTCATTAAAAATTTTAGATAATAATTGAATATTAAAAGCAATATAGCGTGAATTTTTAAAAATAATTGAATTTTGACATTAATTTTTTTTTGAAAACGTTTAATTGAATTTTTTTTATATTATTTGAAATTTTTATTTCTAATTGAAGAATTTACTAATAATTAAAATTTCGTAAAATTGAAATTGTAAAGAAATAATATGGATTTGAAAATTGTCAAAGAACTTTTTCGAAAATTATTAAAAATAATTGATTTAAAGAAGAATTTTAGTTAAAAGCTTCCAAGTTCAGTTTTTTAACTTTAATTTTCGATTATTAATTTTTTATAATAAGTAAAATTTAATTTTCTGTGTTCTTTTCTTTCTAATTTCCTTTTTATACTTTAATATCAATTTTCCTTATTCAGGAAAGGTTTTCTACTTTCATAAGAGGAATGAAGCAAATTTATTCCAATTGACAAATCCATCGTCTATTGAACTAAACAAAGAAATAAAAAACAAAGAAAGTGTCCCTAAACTATTGGATATAAAAATCTAGGCTCAAAACAAAAATTTACTTAATTAAATTTAATATTTAATTAAATTAATGCAAGTATTATTATTTACCATCTTTTTGGGACGTAACATCTCTCTCGGTGCTTTTTTCGGTTCCTCTTTCGGTTTCTCTTTCGGTTCCCCTCTCGTTGTTTCTTTCGGTACCTTTTTCGTTTACTCTTTCGGTGCCTTTTTCGATTCCTCTTTCGGTAACTTTTTCGATTCCTCTTTCGGTGCCTTTTTCGGTTCCTCTTTCGATGCCTCTTTCGGTGCCTTTTTCGGTGTTTTTTCCGGTCCATCTTTCGGTCCATCTTACGGTGCTTCTTTCGGTTCCTTTTTCGAAAGCTTGTTCGTTGCCCCACTCGGTACCCTCCTCACTATCCCTCGACGAATCCCTCGAAAGTTTCTTCTCCGCACGAAATGCTTCACTCTCTGAAAATCGAACCTCATCCTCTGGAGTTTCGGGTCCTTTTCTCTCACCTCCCACAGGCGGTAATTTAACAGTAAGATTTTTCAGTTTCAGAATATCGATTGCATCGTCCTGCTTTAATTCGTCACTAATTTCAGTGTCGATCGAAGAATTTCCGTTCTTCTCCTGATCCGTTTGGAGTAATTCCCGAAAAACTGCGTACTTGTCGAAAGTACTGTCGAAAGAGTCCTGCTCGAAAGTGGCCTTGAACAGCGGTTCGGAAATGAAAGCAGTCTCGACCATTTTAGTCGTCTTTGATGGTTTCTCCGAGACCGGCGTCGGGATCTTTTGGTTCTTCGCCTCCTTGACCGATAAATCGGCGAGACATTCAGTGAGTTGTTGAAGAGTTAAATTTGTCAATTGGTCGATACTCATATTGAGACTGTTGGCTAATTCGCTGAGATTTGAGGAGGTCAACTGACTGAGAGTGATGTAAAGCGGGGGTTTTCCTTTTTTGACATTATCATCATTATTGGGGGAATTTGCTTGACTCCCGCTGGTTGTTTGGAATAGAGTCGATAGCGATGGGGGAATTATGGAACTGAACGAATCCTCGAAACTCGAATCGGAGAGTGTTGATTGTTCGGATCTTTTTGGTAATTGTGGCATTGGGGGACTGAAATTGTCGTCGAAACGACTCTTGGTGGGACTTTTCCGCTCCTTTCGGGTCGGCGATGGTGAGGCTTCTTCGCGCTCGAGAAAATCGTAGTGAAAATGTCCCTCGCTGTAAGGGGGACGCGGTGGGGGTTTGATGACTCCTCGGGAACTTTGCTTCTTCGGTGGGAGTGGCGGAGGATTTATTAAAATACTCCCCGAACCTCGAGGCGGAGGTTCGGGAACATCCATCTCGACACTGGAATTCGATAACCTCGATGCCTCCGACGAACAGGATTTTAAAGGAGAAGCCGGTGAATCAGCGCCTGAAAAATCGATTGGAAATGATTTGTCCATCGATTGAGTTCTACTGTCCATTCCATAGTCTTTTCGGGAATATTGTAAATATTTTCTTGGACTTGGAAGTTTTATTAAACCTTGTGTTGATTCAGTGGAGTCGCGATCCATTTTTGTGAGAATTGACGTGGAGGGGAAATTTTTTTGTTGTCGTTCCTCTTCGGGTGGAAGGGAAACTGAAAGTGGTTGATAATTATTTCTAGGCGATGTTTCTTTCTTCAGTAATGGGGAACTTGTTCTGGGACTTGTTTCTTCTTCGTTGAATTTTTCGAAATTTGCAAAACTATTGTCATCGTAATTGTCGGAATTTGATGATGAATTTTGAACTTTGACTGGTTCTATAGGTTCGTTGATGTTTGACATTTTGAAATCGGCTGGGAATGTGTCACTTGAACTTGTTGTCGCTAAATCTTTGAGAACTTTTTTCGGGGGATTTTTTAAATGTTGGAAAAAGTCTTTTTTGTCGACATAAGGCTTCTTTGAACCCGTTCCCAGAGGATCGAGTTCCGTGAAGACATCGACCTGTTGAATTTTATAATAACTTCGCGGTGTACTCGAGTCCTGAAACAATTTTTCTTTCTGCAATTGAGCAACTAGAGGAAAGAAATTTCAAGAAGCAAAGTAAAAATGGAACTGAAAATGAAATTAAAAATACAGAATTGCCACAAATTAGGGAAAATGAAATTGGTTCTTAAAAATTCGTAATTAAAATTTTTTGAAAATTAAATTCCCGAAAATAATTTTAAAAAATTGGAGAAATAGGAAATTGTTTTGTGGTAACCCTAAAGTATAAATTAATGAAAAATTACTAATTAGTAAATTAGAATTGTTGGACAAATTAATTATGAAACTTACACTGTCCTTGTCCTTATCGTACGTGAGATTTCGCGACAAATTAGAAAGTTCTCCATCCGTGAATAGATCCTCGGTTTCCTTATCGAACCAATGGGTTGATCCATAGGGAGGTGGACTCTTGCTAGTTACAGTTGTAACTGGACTAGATGAAGAGGAAGTTGAAGTTTGCTGAACAGATTGCTGTCGATCGAGATGACTTTTTTTAGAAGATGGCGGCGGCGGTAGAATTGGTTGAACATTGTCCTTCACCTAGGAATTCAATAATTACCTTAAATACCTTAAATTTCTGTAGAGAATTTTGAAAAATCTTTTTTTTCAATAATTAAATTCTTTTATGGAAGTTTATTAAAATTTTATTGAAAAGAATTAAATTTTTGCGTCAAATCAGGGGATTAAGGAAAAAAATCAGGGACAGTATAATTGATCAGGGAAATTAGGAAAAATAAAGGGATTTTTATAAAAAGTACTGGAAAAAAATTAAATTTTTAGAATTCATAAGAAAATTCTGAATTTTTGTGTCATTTTCGTTTGCCTTGCAAATAATTAAATTACCACAAATTCGAATAATTTTTCAAAAGAATTTTTCAAAAGTTTTAACCCAATTATCTTAATAAATAACAAAATTATTTCCAGAAATTCAATTATTTTTAGGAATTTTAATAAGATTCTTCGCAAAATTCAATTATTTTCATAAATAACAATAATCATAATAAAAATTCAATTATTTTCAAAAATTTTAACGAAAATCTCAAGAATTCAAATATATTTTTATAAATAGCAAAATTCTTTTCCAAAATTCAATTATTTTGATAAATATCAAAATTCATCACAAGAATTCAATTATTTTGAAAAGTAATATAATACTTTGCTATTAATTAAATTGTTTAAAAAAAAAATTTTTTTTTAATTCTCTTCAAGAATTAAATTGTCTTTATAAATAGATGGCAAAATTCTTCTCGAGAATTCAAATATTTTCAAAAAATTTTAATAAAATTCTTGGCAAAATTTCAATTATTTAAACACAATGTAATGAAATTCTTCACATGAATTTAATTACTGTCTTAAATTATTCTTTAAATCTTTTACAAAAATTCAATTATTTTTAAAAATTCCAATAAAAGAATTTTAATTTTCTTCGGAGCAATTAAATTATTCTGGCAAAATTTTAATTAAATTCTTAGCAAAAAATTAATTAAATAATAAAATTTGTCTGGGAAATTTAATTAATTTTAGTAACATTTTTCTAAAGAATTCAATTATTTTTAAAAATTTTAATAAAATTCTTCAAAAGTTTTCAATTATTTTCAAAAATTGTGATAAAATTCTTTAAAAGAATTCAATAAATTTCAGTAAATTTTTAATAAAATTCCTTAAAAGAAATCAATTATTTTCAAAAGTTGTTAATAAAATTCTTTATAAGATTTTAATTTTAAGAAACATTAAATTATTCAAGAAAATTATTTACTTCTTCATTCAAATAATTGAATTCTAGTAGAATTTTTGTAATTAAAATTGGTTTAAAAATGAATTTCAGTTAAAATTTTTGATAATAATTGAATATTAAAAGCAATATAGCGTGAATTTTTAAAAATAATTGAATTTTGAAAATGTTTTAAATTAAAATCTTTGAAAATTTGAATTTTTCATACTTTTAACTAACAATTCTGCGTAGAATTAATTTTTTTTGAAAAAATTTAATTCAATTTCTTTTGAAATTATTTCAAGCTTTTACTTTCAAATAGATATATTTAATTGCAGAATTTCCGAATAATCGAAATTTCGTAAAAAAATTTAATTTTAATCAGTTAAATTTAATTTTTTAGTTAAAAGTTCTAGGAAATAATAATTGAATTGAAATGATGAAAATAATTTTGAAGAATTCACAGTAACAATATATTTTCTAATTAAAGAAATTCGTAAATAAATGTATTCGAACATTTTTTTGAGTATCTAATATATTTTTTGAGTGAATCAAAATATTCTTTAGGTCCAGGGAAAAAATTTAAAATTTTGTTTAGAAATCAGGGAAAAATCAAAATTAAATTTTCGTGGCAACCTTCATAATAATATGAAATTGAATTATTGAAATGAATTTTTGACAGTAAAATTTCTATATATAGTTTTGAATAATTTTGTAATTACTTTCATGTTGGCGAAGGAATCCCCAAAGGGATCGGCATCGAATGGATCCTCAGTTGGCCTTGGATTGTCCGGCGTTATCTTGTCCATTTGTCGAATGCCCTGCTGTAACGAGTTCAGTTCAAACTGTAGGTCCAAAAGATCGGCAACCACTCCACTTTGTGACTCGTGCTTTTTCCCAATAGATTTCTCGACTTCGGATATTGTCCGATGGTGAGAAGTCTCGCTACCTGCCGCACCCTACACAAGAAGTAGCAGACACTTTTTTGCGTCTTTCACGATAAAGATTCCAAAAAACGATCTCTTTTTTTTTTTTCTTAAAAACGAATATCTCATTTTATATTTATTCTGAGATTTTAATAATAATAATATTAATATTATTTTCCCAACAAAAAGAAAAAAACAATTAGAAAACGAACCGAATTGAAATAATAAAAAATGGTGTTTGCTTTCTTCTTGAATTTCTAACTTGAGAGGTCGTTTAACAATCACGTCACTTCTATTACTAAATGGAATTTAAAAAAAAAAACTACTGCGAAAGATGAGATTTTTCTTCTTTGAATCCAAATATATCACTATAATCTGAAAGTGTAATGTATTTTTTGATAAAATGAATCGAACTTCGTGACTGAAATAATTTTCCTCTTTTTATCTATTCGAATATTTGTTTTATAAACTTTGGAAAAATTTAGAAAAAATTTCAAAATTGAAAAAAATTATATTTAAAATCTCGAAAGTCATGAAGTTCCTTTAATGTTTGTAGTTAAGATTAGATATTAATGATAAAGGATTGAAAATGGTGAAAGAAAAGTAGCTTAAAATTTGTGACGTACATTTTGAACGACCTCTTCATACTCAAAAGTTCTCATTCTCTCTCTCTCTCTCTCTTTCTCTCACTCTCTCTTTGTTAGCATCGACTCTACTTCTGCAGGTTTTAAAATACGAATTTCGAAGGCTAAAATTATGTAGAAAAAAAAGAACAAAAAAAAAAAGCTTAAAGCATAAACGACTCACGTACCTTTGTATCTGGCGATGGCTCTACAAAAATCCCACTTGGGTGAAACTTTATTGTGGTTTGTTCAATATGCTGCTTTGCTAGTTCGATTTCTTTCTTCTTAAGTTCAAAAACCACTTGAAAAAGATCCCTCATTGCAATTACGACCTGTGTCAAAAATATTAATTCTTTGGGAATTTTTTCTTTTTTCGTCGTTGTATTATTTAAATAGTAATTGTAATTATTATTACAATCACAGGCTTCGCACTCATCTACTAAAACATATACAATTCTTCCCAATAATTCAATTACTTTCACTAATAATAACATTTTTCATGAAAATTCAATTACTTAAAAAAATTTTTGATAAAATTCTAAGCAAGAAATCAATTATTTGCATAAATAATAAAACTCATCGAAGAATTTCAATTATTTTTAATACTATTTTAAATTAGTTAAACGAAAAATTCAATTATTTTTACACATAAAATTTTCCACAAGAATTCAATTATTTTAAATAAAATTTTCATAATATTTATTATATTTCGAAAAAAATTAATTATTTAAAACAATGTTTAAAAAATTCTTGTGAAAAATTCAATTATTTTCAAAAATAACAAAATTTTTACACAAATTCAATTCTTTTAAACATTTTAATAAAATTCTTAGCAACTATTCAATTATTTCCATAAATAATAAAATTCATTGCAGGATTTCAATTATTTTTAATATAATTTTACAGGAATTGCTCGAAAAATGTAATTATTCTTAAAAATTTAATTTCAATGCCTCTAAATAATCAATTATTTAAAAAAAGGCTTTTTTTTAAATTCTTTGGATGAATTCAATTATTTAGAAAAATTTTTGAATTTTTCACAGAAAATACAATTTTAATTACATTCTTTTGAAATAATTCAATTATTCTTTTAAATTTTAATAAAATTCTCCCCAAGAATTCAACAATTTACATAAATAATTTTCAGGTATTTTAATAAAATTCTTTGCAAAATTCAATTATTTTTCAAAAATAAACAAAATTTTTCATAAAAATTCAATTCTTTTAAACATTTTTATAAAATTCTTAGCAACTATTTAATTATTTTTATAAATAATAAAATTCATGGCAACATTTCAATTATTTTAAATGCAATTTTAATTACATTTTTTTGAAATAATTCAATTATTCTTTTAGATATAAAATTCTTCCAAAGAATTCAAGTATGTCGATAAAATAACAAAATTATTCCCAAAAATTCAATTATTTTGAGGCATTTTAATAAAATTCTCTGCAAAATTGAATTATTTTCATAAATAATTAAATTCTTTTTAGAAATTCAATTATTTTCGAAATTAATAAATTTTTTCTTGAAAATGCAATTATTTAAAAAAATTCTAATAAAATAGTTCTCAAGAATTCTTAATTATTTTCATAAATAATAAAATGCTTCTTAGAAATTCAATTATTTTCAAAAAAATTTAATAAAATGCGACACAGACATATTCAATTATTATTGTGAAAAAATTTAACAGAATTCTTTGGATAAATTTAATTATTTTTAAAAACATTTTTTCAATTTAATGAATTTCAATATCTACAGTTTTCATAAAATTTCTTAACAGAATTCAATTATTTAAAAAATTATTTGGAATAAAATCTTCGTAAAAATTCAATTATTTTCATGAATAATTAGAATTTCCCAGGAATTCAATTATTTAAATTAGAATTTATATAAAATTAGTTTTCTATAGTCGAAAGACAAGAATTATTTAAAAAATTTTATATAATTCTTCGCAGGAATTCAATTATTTTAGTAAATATTTAAATTCTTTCATGAATAATAAAATTCGTTGCAGGAATTCAATTTCTTGGCAGGATAAAAAGGAATAAATAAATATTTTTTTAGGAAAAAGTCAGGAAAATAAAAAATAGAATAGAATTTTTGTCAGCTTTGTGAAGTTTCTAAAGCGAATTTTTTTGTCGTCAAGTTTAATTTTTCGATAGTTACATTTTTACTATTTTTTTTTTTAGTTTGAAAGCTACTTTTTGCAACTTTTTTAAAATTAATTATCGAGTGCGAAGTCTGCAATTATGATTAGAATTTTAAATATAGTTGTGACTGCAATTATTTGAATTGAAAATGTAATTGTGATTACAACTGGAAATTTTCGAAATTGAAATTAAAATTGAAAAAAGAATCGCATTTTTAAGGAAATTTGTTTATAAAAGATGAAAAAGAAGGGTATATAAATTTGTCGGTGAAGAGTGAAATTGAGGTTGATTTGAATTTTAAGAACTACGAGACGGGGTGTGATATACATGATGTACCTATAGAAAATCCACTTTCAAAAAAGGGAGTCAAACCAAGCGTACATAATCCCGAAACTTACAACAGTAATCGAAGGGAGTTAATTGCAATAAACCGACAAAGTAACGCAATTATTTACACACGCCTATATACAGAATTAGAATAGCCATCGGTTCTATGTCAGTATCATTTTGAAACTCTTGTTCGTCCTCTAGACTTGGGCAAATATAATTTTGCGCCTTGCACAAAGGAAATTATTCTCCACCCACAAATTGACACAATAATTCAACAAGTTTTCAATCTATTTACATTAATTTTCTATTCTATTTAAAAATTTAAAGGACTAAAGTATATACGCACACAACAAACTATTATCACTAAGTCTGAATTTATACAGAAAAAATTCGAAGCAATTAAAAAATTTAAATAAATTTAAATCACAATTTAAAAAATTTAAATTAAATTAATTAAATTAATTAAATTAATTAAACGTAAAAAAATAACTACAGTCGACTATTGATAAATTATTGAATCTCAAGGGATGTAGAAAATATTCAAATTATCGTGATTTTTATTTCTTTTTGCATTAATTTTTAACTATACCTAGTATAAATATAAAATTTATTTCAATGAAATTTGACAAAAACTTTTAATTGTTTCAATTCTTCAAAAAAAAATTTAATTATACTATTTTTGAAAAGACTAATTTTTTTCAAACTCTCTAAATTAATTTATTCAAAACTTAAATAATTTTTGTTAAACAAATATTTAAAAACTGTTATTCTTCAGAAAAATACTTAATAATATTTTTAAAAAAATTTTTAAAATAAGAAATTAAAATTCTGTAAAATAGAAAATTTATTGTGATGAAATTTTAGAAAATTTCCAATTTTTTCAAGTTTTTAAAATTATTTCCGGGAATTCAACTGTTTTCAAACAATTTTAATTACTATTTTTTACATTTTTCACAATTTCTAAATAAAATTTTTTAAATTTAATTCATTTTTGTTAGATAAATATTTTAATACTTATTGTTATTTATTTGTCTAACAGGAATTAAAATTTAAAAATAGCTTTCAATGTAAAAACTTTTGAAATTGAATTCAAATTAGAACAACAATTCTTGCAATTCTTGAAATATTTTTTAAAATTTAAACCGAAATTGCTTTTCAAAACAATTATGTATTATCAAAAAGTTGAACCTGAATTAAATTCAATTAATCAAAAGCTTAATTATCGAGAGTTGACTTAATATATAAGGAAACAAAAAAAAAAATTATATATTTATTTACCTGACTTGCAGCTTTGTCGGTTTTGATACCAAAAAATCTGTGTCCCATGTCGGGAGATCCAAAAATGTATCCAAAAGCTCTGGAATCGCTCATATCTTGAGCAATGAAAGATATTTTGTGCACTGGATGGTGGTACTGACAGTCCTGAAATAATTTCAATTGCATTAGTTATTTTATTCTTTAATGTATATGATAAAAGTGTTTCAGAGAGAAATATAATTACTCCAGTCTTTTCGTCGCGTAATCGTAGACCATCGATGCTAATTTGGACAGTGATTCGTTGTTTATGTTCACCAGCGGCTCGAATTGCCATTTTTAAATCAGCCAATGCAGCCTGACACATTCGATCCCCGCGTGCTTCCGACACTTCTAATATTCCAATCAACTTTGCCTTGAACGACACACCCTCGCCCAAAAATCTCGTCGGCTCATTTTTAACTGAAAAATATCCAAATTTTTTTTTTTTTTCTTAATTTCAATCTTAAATTTTAATTTATAATTATTTCATTGCTGCATTCTGGGTCATTTTAAACGTTACATATTTTAAATATTTAAATTAAAAATTAAATATTTTAAATATTCCATATATTAAAATTAATTTTCAAAATTATTATATTATTCATAATTAAGTTCCTCGAAAAAATTCAATTATTTTCAAAAATTTTAAGAAAATTCTTAAAAATAATTCAATCTTTTCATAAATAATAAAATTAATCTCTGCGAAGAATTTCACTAAAATTTTAAAAAATAATTGTAATCCTGATAAGAATTTTGCTCTTTGTTAAAAAATCGAATTCACGGTAGGAATTTTATTATTTATGCAAATAATTGAATTCTTACAAGATTATTTTAAAAATAATTGAATTGTTTTGAAGAATTTCATTAGAATTTTTGAAAACAATATAATTCTAATAAACAAATTTTATTAAAATTTGCGAAAATTTAAATTCTTTCAAGGAATTAAATTTTTCTAAAAAATTTAATCAAAATTTTTTAATACAATTAGAATAATTTCAAGAAATTTTATTGAAAATAATTGAATACTAGATTTGAAATAAATTTAATTTCTGCGAAGAATTTTACTAAAATTATTGAAAATAATTGGATTCCTTATAAGAATTTTGCTTTTCGTGAAAAGAATTGAATTCTCGAGAAGAATTTTATTATTTATGATAATAATTGAATTTTTACATTGAAAATATTTAAATTCTTTCCGGAAATTTGATCAAAATTTGGATTGAATTTGTAAGAATTGAATTCTCACAAGATAATTTTAAAAATAATTGAATCGTTTTATAGAATTTCATTAGAATTTTTGAAAATAATAAAATTCCAATAAACAAATTTTATCAAATTTTTTTTAATACAATCAAAATAATTTCAAGGAATTGTACTAAAACTTTTTACAAATAATTAAATTTCATCAAAAAAATTTTATTGAAAATAATTGAATTCTAGTTTTAAAAAAAATTAATCTCTGCGAAGAATTTTACTATTTTTGTAAATAATTGAATTCCTGATAAGAATTTTGCTTTTCGTGAAAAGAATTGAATTCTCGAAAAGAATTTTATTATTTATGATAATAATTGAATTTTTACATTGAAAATTATTAAAATTTTTGAAAATATTTAAATTCTTTCCAGAAATTTGATCAAAATTTTAATGAAAATCATGGAATTTTTTTAAAGAATATTATAAAAATTTTTATAAAAGAAAATTGAATTTTTTTTTAAGAATTTTAATATACATTATGAAAATAATTGAATTTTTGTCGAGAACTTTATTAAAATTTATAAAAATAATTGAATTGCTGACAATAATAATTTTTTTTACAAAGATTTAAATGAATTCCTGTTAAGAGTTTTACTATTCATGAACAGAATATTGAATTCTCGTAATGAATTTTATTATTTACGTAAATAATTGAATTCTTGTATTGAAAATTATTGATATTTTTGAAAATAAGTAAATTTCTCCGAGGAATTTGAAGAATTTAGTTTAAAATGTTTTGAAATTGAAAATAATTGAATTTTTCGCTGAAATTGAATTTTTCTTCAAATTTTATTAAAATTCTTCCAAAGAATTAAATTATTTTCATAAATATAGGTATAATAAAAATCTTCGTTGAAATTCAGTTATTTTTAAATATTTACAATAAAATTCTTCGCAAAAAATTCAATTATTTTCAAAACCTTTAATAAAATTCCTCAAAGAATTCAATTATTTACGCAAAAGAAAAAATTAATTTTTGAAAATTGAAATATTTGGAAATTAAATATTTTAATCTGTGGAAAAGAAATGTTTCTCGTCTCTTTTTTTTTGGTCATGAATTCATGCGAAGAATTCTATTGTACTTAAAAAAAATGAATTTTCCCCAAAGAATTCTTTGAGAAAATTTATGAATTTATGAAAATAATTGAATTCTTGCATTGAAAGTTATTAAAATTTTTGAAAATAAATAAATCTTTCCGAGGAATTCATTTAGAATAATTTTGAAAATAATTGAATTTATCCAAAAAATTTTATTAAAAATTTTGAAAATAATTTTATTGTTTCGAAGTAAATTAAATTTTTTTTGCAGGAATTTAGTTTAAAATGTATTGAAATTGAAAATAATTGGATTCTCCCATCCGCTGGAATTGAATTTTTCTTCAAATATTAAAATTCTTCTAAAGAATTAAATTCATTTTTTATTTTCATAAATATAATAAAAATCGTCGTTGAAATTCAGTTATTTTAAAAAATTTACAATAAAATTCTTCGCAAAAATTCAATAATTTTCAAAACCTTTAATAAAATTCTTTAAAGAATTCAATTATTTACACAAAAGAAAAAATTAAATTTCGAAAATTGAAATATTTGAATCTGTGAAAAAGAAATGTTTCTCGTCTATCTTCTCTTTGGTCGTAATTGAGAGAATAATATAATTTGTGTTTCGTTTATAAAATTTTTTCAAGTTCATTCTTGAATAAAATCAATCAAACAGCTGGTGTCACTTGAACTCGGTTCGCCTTGGAAACCTGTTATCGAACCAGCATATAGAGTAAATTCATTTTTCGTCCTAAAGTGATTGTGAGTGTGCGAGTGTGGGCAACTTGGTTGAAAATCTTATTGTATTGTGACGATATGTCACCCTACGTGGTCCATGGTATATCATGGGCAAGTTGATACGAAATGCAATCACGTAACACACGTGAATCAAATCGAATTTATGCTTCGTGGGGGTTGTCTCGCTCTCTCTCTCTAACAATGATAGGTCCAAACGAATTAAGTCGTTCACAGGGTGGATCAATTTACATCTGGTCGAACAAACCCGAATGGTCATATACACCGCAAATTCACGATCAATTTCATTTCTACGATCAAACCAATAACCGACAAGGAAATCTTGTTTTCCCTTGTATTCGAATAATTAACATACACACGTTCAAGTTCTTTTTTCTCCGTCGTATATATATATGACTTACAACGATTTTTGTTGAAGCAAAACTCTTCGTTTTTTCGTTTTTTGAAATTTTTTGATTTTTCGACACCAATTATTATCGTGATGAGAAGGAATATTAATTTTTCAAGTTCATAAGAGAAAGGTGAAGAAGTTTCTTTTTTTCCTTTTTCTCTTCCAATTTTTGTTAAAAAAAAAACCTCTTCTTCATTTTCTTTTTGGAAAACATAGAATTTTCGGAAATAATTTTTTTGTTTTGAAAGAAAAACAATAAAACTGTTATTTTTTAATTCAATTATTTTCAAAACTTTCAACAAAATTCTTTACAAGAGTTTAATTATTTTCAAAAATAATTACAAAATTTTATTTATTTTCAAATACCAACTTGAATTTTTGATTAATTTCAGATTCAAAGTTAAAACAAAATTTATTTATCAAGTAATTAACTAATTAATTAATTATTTAAAAAGAAAAATTATTTGAAAAGTTAGGAAACAAAAAAGCAAACAATAACTATCTTCAAAAAATTGTTTCAATTCAATTAGTTTCTTAAAAATATTCTAATGTAATTTTACGAAAAATAATTGAATTTCTTAAACAAATTTTTGTAGAATTTAAAAAAACTGTTTCATTTTTTGAAAAATTGTAATAAAACAATTTTCGAAATTTCGAATTATTTTCAAACTTTGCAATTGAAATTCTTCAAAAGTTGTTGTTCAAAAATTGTAATAATTCGAAAAAATCAATTATTTTCAATTAAATTTTACACAAACTTCAATTATTCAAAATTTTGTAAATTGTATAATTCAAAAATTTAATTAGAAAATATAGTTCAAAAATAATTTTTGAATGATTTGACTTTTTTTGGGACTATAAAAATTAAAATAAGTTTCATTTTGTACTAAAAATGTTGCAATATTTAAAAGAAAAGTCAAAAGTGTCTCAATTTTTGAAAATAAATCGAAAAAATTCGATATCATTAAAATTATTTAATACCACCGAGTGATAAATTCATTTTGTAATTAAAAAGAAAAGAGTTAGCAAATATTTTATTTTTTGACTGTAAAATTAAAACTCCAACAAAAGTTATTAACAAAAATTGATGAAAAGAGAAAGAAAATGCGATGATAAAGAGATCGAGGGAGGAAGCAAAGGGAATTTTTATGACAATAGTTGTTACAATTATACAGGTTATTATTATGTTTCTTGATAATGAGAGTGGTGGCTTTTAAAACACTCTTTTACTTTCTTTCATTCTTTTTTTTTTTTTTTTTTTGCTATTAATAACCCAGTCGTAAATTACATTTGTGTGATTGCGCCCATAGCTGCTTGAAAGTTGAGTGCACCAACTGTCGGCACTTGAAAAATGCTGCGGGGGTAACTCTTCCATCCCCTTCTTTTTTACTAATGTAAGATTCTTTACACTTATTCGTTCTTCATTTTCAGGTTTTTGCACCAGATGCTCCGAGACAATCTTTACTCTCGCACTTGTTATGATTTTCAACGTTTGCTTTATTCATTTTTGAAAAAGACAATTACCAATTTTTAAATCACATATACAAATACGCTGCAGAGGGAAAAAAATATTAGAATTTTCATAAAAAAATTTCTCATCCTTTTGCCTTAGTTCAATTCGTATAATTATTTAGGTAATTTTTATCTATGTAATTTTTGTTCAACTTTAAAAATTTAGAATCTAAAATAATTTAATTTTTGCATAGAATTAAATTTTATTTTATTCAAATCTTTAACAAGAATTGAATTGTTTCGAAGAATTTTGTTAGAAACTTTTGAAAATATTAATTAGATTCTTTTAAAGAATTTTTTTGAAACTAAAGAAATTATTAATTGTACTGAAATTAATTGAATTCTTCTAAAGAATATTGTATCAACATTTTTTTTTAAAATAATTGAATTTTTTCAAGAAATTTAATTCAGCATGTTTAAAAATAATTGAATTCTATCGAGAAATTTTTTTAAAATTGTATTTTGAAAAAAATTGAATTATTTTGAAGAATTTCATTAAAAGTTTGGAAAATAATTAAATTCTAATCAATAAATAATGTTATTCAAATTTGAGACTAATTGAATTCTTTCAAAGAAGTTCACGAAAATTGTATTGAAAATAATTCAGTTTCTGCAAAGCAGTTTATTATTAAATGAAAATAAATAAATTAAGAATAATACACACAAAAATAATAAAAATTTTAAAAAATGTAAATTTAATTGTTTAGAAGAAAATAATTGAATTCTTGTAAAGAATTTTATCAAAATTTTTAAATACTAAAGTTTTTAAAAATAATTGAATTCTATCAAGAAAATTTATTGAAAATAATTGAATTCTAGTGACGAATTTTATTACAAGTTTAAAAAAAAAATTTTACGTCTGCGAAGAATTGAACTATTTTTGAAAATAATTGATTTTCTGCAAAGAATTTTATATTATTTAGCAAAATTAATTTAATTTTTCCAAAGAATGTTATTATTTATTAGAATTAATTCTGATGATTAATAAAATTCTGATGAATTTATTTTGATGATTAATAAAATGTTTTTAAATAATTGAACTCTTGCAAAGAATGTCATTAAAACTTTTAAAAATATTTAATTAAGACGAAGAATTTTATTATAATTTTTCAAAGTAATAGAACTGCTGACAATAATAATTTTTTTTATCAAATATTGAATTGAATTCATGCTAAGAATTTTATTATATTTACAAAAAAAATGGAATTCTCGGAAAAAATTTTATTATTTATGTAAATAATTGAATCATTAAAAATTTTGAAAGTACTTTAATTAATTTAAAGAAACTTAAAATTTTTTCCAGGAATTTAGTTAAAAATATATTGAAAATTGAAAATAATTGACTTCTTGCGAAGAATTTTATTCAAATTTTTGTGAAAAATTAAATTATAATATAGAAATTAAAAAAAAAAATTTTCGAAAATCACAAATAACAATAATTAGTTACTAAATGAACTTTTTTTTTAATTTTTAATTTGAAATCATTCAAAAATTGAAGTATTGATATTTGATAATAGAAAAATTTGAAATTTGCATACAAATAATAATAAAAGAAAAACCACGTTTTGCGCGTAATATTTGCTAGTCTTTTATAATTGAAATGTTAAATAATTAAAATATTCAATAATTGAAATCTTTTAGAATTAAATTTTTTAATATAATTGTTTTATTTGTAGTAATTGAAATATTTAATAATTGAAATCTTTTATAATTAATTTTTTTTTATAATTGGATTATTTATAGTAATTAAAATATTTAATAGCTGAAATCTTTTGTAATTAAATTCTTTTATAATTGAAATATTTAGCAATTGAAATATTTAATAATTGGAATATTTATTATTAAATTCTTTTATAATTGAAATATTTAGTAATTCAAATATTTAATAGTTAAAATATTAAGTAATTGAAATTTTGTGTGAAATTTTAAATAACTATTTAATAAATACAAGATTTTTAAAATTAAATGAATTCAATTAAAATTAAAAAATTAATTAAAATTAAAATTAATTAGTTATTCAATTGAATAACTGAATAATTACTGGGAATTGTCGATAGTATAAGATGTATTGTATATATTTATTGATACATTTGTTTGTTTTTTTAGTGTTATTCCTCGAACGTGGCAAAAACAGACGCAAGTTTCACTAAAATATCACCTCTTTCACCCTCTAGGAAGTAAAAGTGGTGCACTCTATTTTCAACCCCCGATATTAACGCACCACTTGGAGGGTAAAACAGACCAAAACAAAATCAACCCCTATAAATGCTCATCTATAATCCTTCTACTCTTATGCGTATTTTTTTTTCTTTTCTCTCTTATAAATAATACAATTACACCTTTTTTTTCCTCACCACCAATAAACCACTGAATAATTGAAAAAAAGGCAATGATAACATTCAAACGTTCGCTGAAATAATCATTAAATTCCATAAATTTCTTATCAGTACTATACAATCACAAATTGCACGATCTGACACGATTTTCTTTCCTCTATGAGTCATCCCTCTCTCTGATTGTATAATAATTTTTAGTTTCAATTTTTACAAAAAGGGAATTCCACTCTTGAATTTTTTCAATTATTCCAAATATTCCAATTTTCTATTATTAATTTCAACTAAATTAACAATTCTTTTCAGAATTATTCATTTTTGATTCTTTTTTTTTTTACTTTCCTTGAAGTATAAAAATTCGGTGATAAAAACAAACAAATTTATTATTCGAAATCAAAAATACTGAAAATCTTATTTTCTACTTTCTGTATAGAGAAAAAAATAAAATTAACCCTTTCGCTACCCTCAAGGGGAGATTTTTTTTTTATTAGTGAATTTCTGAAGAATTTAGCAGAATTTAGAAATTATTTTCAAAAATATTTTGGCTTTATTTTGACTCTCAAAAAGCTGTAAATTTGCAAAAAGGTTTTAGAAAGTTATGACGAGAATAATTAGTAAAATTGATTTAGAGAATATTTTTTTTATTCGTCTACTCACACTTGCAGGGACTGTTCTTTCTCCGTAAGGTCTGCATTGAAAATCGCGCTTTCAGGCGCGTGATGAATGTGTTCTCCAAAATTACACCACACCCTTTGTCAGGGCCTCTTAAATTGCAATAACAATACACGAGTACATTGTGAAATGTACACCCCCTTCTTCTTTCTTTTTTTATTCTCGAAATTAACACACGTCGAAAAAAATGATTGCAAACGATTCGTGTAAATTCCCCGTTTGGAAGGTCCCACCCTCTATTGGCTGATGACTTTTCCTCCTGTCACTGAATCGCGTGTGTGGTAAGAAAAAAAAGAAGGAAAAAGAAAAGAAAAAATAAAAAAATTCAATTAACGAGAAAATGAAAATTAATTTTACTTTATTTTGCACGTGATTTTAAATTTTCGTTGATTATCACACGTTGCCTTTTGGGTTTTGTTTTCTTTTTTTTCAATTTGTTGAGAGGAAGTGACAGCTGCCTCTGCCGGCACAGGTCACCCATGCTAGTTTCCCTACATTGATCAATAACATACCCTTAGTACGCGGCGGCGGCGTCGCAGCCAATGCACTCAAACGGAAACCGTAATTTCTTACAATTATGAAAATTTGAATCTTGGTGAATAATATTTTTTTTTTGCTATTTACTAAAAGGAAAAAATAGAAATTTACCACAGGAAAAAAAATTACAATTTAATTTTCAAAAAATTCCATCAGAATTAAATAATTTTTTTCCATTTTCCAATTTCAATTTCTTTTACAATTATGGAAATTTGAATCTTGGTAAATGACATTTTTTTTTGTTTATTTATCAGATAGAGAAAATAGGAATTTACCAGAGGAGGACGAAAAAAAATTGTTTAATTCTGTCTAAAACTATTTGAAAATTAAATTGTTTATAAGAAACAGTCGCAAAAAGAATTTTTTTTTTCAATAAGAAAATTTTGTTAAATAACATTTTGCTGAGTGAAACTTTTGTTAAACAACTATTTGCTGGTGGAAACTTTTAATAGACAAAGTACGAACACAAATGCAATTTATTATTTAATGGAAATAATAAAATAATAAAAATTATAAAAATTTGTAAATTTAGTTGTTTAGAAAAAAATTTTAATTCTTTCGAGGAATTTAATTATAATTATAATGTAAATAATTGAATTCTTTTAAAGAATTTTATCAAAATTTTTAAATACTAAAGTTTTTAAAAATAATTGAATTCTAGCGACGAGTTTTATTACAAGTTTTGAAAAAAATTAAACTTCTGCGAAGACTTTTACTAAAATTTTTGAAAATAATTGAATACCAACGAAGAATTGGATTATTTATAAAAATAATTGAATTTTTCCAAAGAATATTATTATTTATGAGAATAATTAAATTGTTTCGAAGAATTTTATTAACATATTTGAAAATAATTAAATTCTTTCAAGAAAATTTAATTAAAAATTAATTGAAAATAATTGAATTCTTGCTAAGAATTTTGGTATTTATGAAAAGAATTGAATTCTCGCTAAGATTTTCATTATTTATGTGAATAATTAAATTTTTTCGATTAATTTTATTAAACTTTGCTTTTTAATATTTAAAATTAAGCGAAGAAAATTTATTTTTAATGAAAATAATTAAATTCTAATATATAGTTTATTTACTCTCCCTACAATAGGTAGGGTTCGAGACTCCCAAGTACATACATAACAATCTTAACCTATATTTACAAAAATCCTTACAACTAAACATTCTCTTCATACAACTTAACCTAAAAACGCAACTCTCTCCACGCTCTCTACCTTACGCTCTTAACCTATCGCCAGTGCCGGGCTTCCGTTTCCAGTTCCTTCTATGCCCATGCTGGCTTCAACCCAATTCGCCCACCCTTTTTCCAAAAACCTGCTTTCTCACCTCCCTTACACGCTCCAGTCATCCACTTTTATCCATCCATCCATCCAAGCAAAATCTTCTCACCTCATTCTCAGCCTATACCTGTCTATCACACTTTACACACTTCCATCACTCCACCCATATCCTCCCCCACAACATACTTTACCCCATCCACCCAAATACAATCCTTACCCATTCTTACCTGTTTTCCTTTCACTCTCTCCGTCCACGCTCTTTCTCTCAATAGCCATAGCATTCTTCTTATTAAAATTTAAAAAAATTGAATTTTTAACAAGAATTTTGTTATTTATTAAATAATTAAATTCTTTTAACGAATTTTTTTTAAAATTGTATTTAAAATAATTCAATTTTTATAAAGAATTTTATTTTTTTTTAAAAACGCTGAATTTATGCGTTGGATTTCATTATTTAAGAAGATAATTAAATTTTTGCGTAGAATTTTACTAAAATTTTTGAAAATAAATTAATTTCTCCTGGGAATTCAATTAAAATTGTTTTTGAAAATAATTGAATTGTTTCAAAGAACTTTATAAAAAAATTTTGAAAATAATAAAATTCTTTAAAGAAAATTTAATTAAAAATGAATTGAAAATAATTGAATCTACAAAATTAAATTAAAAATGAATTGAAAATAATTAAATTCTAATAGATAAATTTTATCAAAATTTATCAAAATAATTGAATTTCTGCGAAGAATTTTATTAAAATATTTGAAAATAATTGTATTCTTTCGTCATATTTTATTAGCTATGAAAATAATTTAATTCTTGCAAAGAATTGTATTAAAGTTTTTAAAATAAGAATTATTAGAATAAAAAGAATTATTAAATTAATACCTATTCATTAATTAAAAAATAATTAGATTTATACACTTTAATTAAATAATTAAATAATTAAATAATTAATTAATATAATTTTATATTAATACTAATAGTACTCTTTTTTTGGGGGGGAGCAATATTAATATTTATAGCTATAAGAGTAAAATTAAATTTTGTTCAAAGAAATAAATTTAATAAACATTTTCACTTTATTTAAAACAAATTATGAATGTTTTATCTATATAATTAGTAGAATATTTACGAATATTTAAACATGAGGTCCTAAGTCAATTTTATTCGTTGGCACTGGCAGAACAGATGGATTTTCATTTTCAAGTGCTCCAAGTTCCTGTAATAATTCCCGTTTATCTCCAAAGTAATCTTTGTACCACATAATGTGTTGAACTTTCTCATCGACTGTCATAAATGCATTTTTCGAAAGACCAACGCACACCAATTCCATAAATTGTCGAACTGGACCGTGCTTTGGACACCATCCCTTCAAATGACGCTCCATAAATACATGCTCGGAAAAATGTACTTTTTCTTCTTCGTCCATTCCTAAGGAACAAAACAAAATTTTTTTCTTCTTTAGTTCAAATTTTAGAAAATATTTCTAGAATTAAAAGAATTGCAGTTTTAATTTTAATTAAATTACGAAAGATTTTACATTGAAAGTATTTTCGAATTTTAATTCCTGCTTTAAAAATAAATAACAAGTATTCAAATATTTATTAAACAACAATTAATGAAATTTGAAAAATTTAATTTAGTAATTTTGAAAAGTGAAAAATGAAGTTTTTAAAAAATGGTAATTAAAATTTGTTTGAAAATACTTCATTTCTCGAAAATAATTTTAATTGAAAAAATTGAAAATTTTCTCAAATTTCATTAAAATAAATTTTATATTTCAAAGAATTTACTTTTTTCACTTTAAAAAATTATTTTTAAACTTTATTGTATTTTTTTGAAGGAATTGGAACTAAAAATTTGGAAAATAAGTAAATTTAAAAAAAAAATTTGTATTTAAATAATTATTGTTGAATTCTAAGAAATTTAAAAATTTTTATTAAATTTCAAAAAGAAACTAATAAAAGTCCAAAATACAGCCTTTTATTTTTTTACTAATTATTTTTTCTTTATTTGAAAATACTAAAAAAATAATTTAAAAAACGATTTAAACAGAAAACAATTATTATTAATATTAATTAACAATTTCTCACCTTGTTCATTGTTAATTGGAAAATGCCAAACTTTTCCTTGATCCGTCCACTGAATCATTTCTTGAAAATAATTTTGGGGTGGTTGATATTCCAGAATTTTTATTTCCCTTTTTTCTAATTGCGACCAAGTTGATAATTCCTCAATTAACGGCTCCTCTGTTGATATTTTTAAAATTCCAAAGCCATTCAATGAGGAATTCAATACACTTGTCCTGAAATATTTTACTTTAATTAATTCATCTTCGATGATCAAAAATTTTATTCTTTTCTGTTCATTATTATCATAAAAATGTTACCCATCCTCTTCAATGTCATCGTGACTACGTCTGCGCCTCCTGGAAATTAAACAAAAAATTATTGTTATTTTTTAGCTATAATTTTTAAATTAATTAATTTCTCAACTATAATTTTTAAATTCATTAATTCTTCAACTATAATTTTTAAATTAATTAACTACAATATTCTTTTAATTAGAAAATTTTTCACTTCATTAATAATAAGATTTGAAAAAATTTAAATTAGAAAAAGAATTTAAATCACTGATTTTTCAGTCGTTTTCTCCCTTTATGTAAAGAAAAAATAGTTTATATTATTAAAATATTATTTTTAATTCTATCGTCAATGAAAGTTTCAAATATTTAAGTCACATGATCTTTAAATATTTCAATCGTTTCTACTCGTATCATTTTCGAAAGAAAATTTCCTTTTCATTGAAAAATAATTAAATTAATTTTTAAATTAAATTAAATTAATAATTAAAAAAATAAATAAATACCGATCGTTTATAAGAGAATACATTATCGAAGCAGCAGAATTTTCCCTTCTGGAATATTCAGGTTTTGTTTCCTCTGATTTACTTGAAGCGCTTCTAAAAAAAAGAGAAATTGTTTTCTTATCAAATTCGATACCATTTTAATTTTTTTGTGCGATAATATTTTTAATAAGAAATAATATGCAATAAATAATTTTATTGTCAGTTTAAAATAAACCTTGTGAACTAAATTTATCGAAAATTGAAAAATTTAAAAAATATTTGTTGATTTAAAGAAAAAAATTACCGTTCTTGTTGATGTCGTTCTTTCAAGAGTGCAGACAGTGTCGATGGTCCCCTTTCTGTTATCACTGATTTTTCAGTCGTTTTCTCCCTTTTGTGTAAAGAAAAAATATTCATATTATTAAATTAATGTTTTTAATTTTATCATTGAACATTTTATTTTGTTGTCCTGACAATTCAAATTTTTTTCTAATAACAATAAATTTGTTGAGGTAACAAAAAATTTTGTAACCACAACAAACGAAATTTGTTAGTTCTATATTAAAAATTCTTTTTTCTCTGTGTACCTTTCTTGTTGTTCACTTTCTTTTAAAAGAGTAAAAAGTGCCGACGATACTTTTTCAGTATTCACTGATTTTTCAGACGTTTGCTCCCTTTATGTAAAGAAAAATATTTGCAAATTAATTATAATATTATTATAATAGTTTTCTTAGTATTTATATTTTCAACAAAAAAAAATTATTTCAACTGGAAGTTTTAATTGCAGATTTAATTGAAACGCTTCGAAAAAGCGAAGAAAATGTTTTCTCACTGAAAAAATGAATTAAAAAACATTACCTTCAATAATTTTATTTTCAGTAAACTATGAGAACTAAATTTATCGAAAATTAAAAATGGAAAAAATATTTATTGATTTAAAGAAAAAAATTACCGTTTTTGTTGTTTGCGTTCTTTCAAGAGTGCAGACAGTGTCGACGGTCCCCTTTCTGTTTTCACTGATTTTTCAGTCGTTTCTTCTCTGCATTTAAAGAAAAAAAAACATTTGTTAATTAATTATAAAATTATAATAATCTAGTTAGTATTTTCCAAATTTGCCATTAAAAAATATTCAAGTAAAAAAATGCTGCCTGGCGGTAAAGGAAGTTAATGAATTACCCTTTCAAATCTCGTAAAATTTGATCTGATGTCTCTTTTTTAAATTCAATATTAAGATTGTTAATTTTGTTCGAAGCAGAACGAACGCGCTGTATTTTGTTCCTTCTATAATTCTCCTCATTACTAGTATTTTTTACTTTCATTCCTTTCAAAAGATGACTGAAAATAAATAATTAAATTAATTCTTCTTCTTTTCATTCAGAAATTCAAATTTCTTTTTTTATCGACGAGAAAAAAGTAAAATTAGAACCTTAAATCTTCTGAAGTTTCTGAAGAAACATTTTCGGTTTTCTCTCTTGGTTTTAGAAGACGATTTAATAAATCTGATTCCATTTTTTCCGTATCTCCGCCTAATTTCTTGGCAACATTTTTTGCAGCATTGAGAAACTTTTCCTCTGTTAGGAGTAGAAATTATTAATATGATTACTCATATTTTGTATATAAATTATTTTCTAATATCAAATTCATTTTTTATTAATTTAAAAATCGAAATTTAAAAAGAATTTCTTGAAAACTATTCGATTACTTTAAAAAATTTCGGTCAAATACTTTGCAAGTATTCAATTATTTTCATAACTCATAAAATTCGACGAAACAGTTCAATTACTTTCAAAAATTTTAATAAAATTCTTTGCAGAAATTCAATTATTTTGAGTACAATTTTAATTTTTTTTATTAAATTCCTCGGAGAAATTAATTTATTTTCAACAATTTTAATAAAATTCTTCGCAAAAATTCAATTATTTTCATAAATATTAAAATTCTTCAAAAATATTTAATTTTCTTTTATAAAAATTTTTTAAATATTTTTTTAAAACAATTCAATAATTTTCATTAAAATTTTGATTAAATTTCTGGAAAGAATTTAAATATTTTAAAAAGTTTTAATGACATTTTTTACAAAGAATTAAATTATTTTTAAAAATAATAATATTCCTCGCAGAAATTCAATTATTTTCAAAAATTTTAATGAAATTTTTAGCAGAAATTAAATTTTTTTCAAAACTTGTTATAAAATTTGTCGTTAGAAATCAATTATTTTCAAATAAAATTTCTTCAAATATTTTTACAAAATTTATGTACAACTACTTGAAATAATTTTAATAAAATTTGTTTATTAGAATTTAATTATTTTCAAAATTTTTAATGAAATTCTTCAAAAGAATTTAATTATTTTCAAAATACAATCTTAATAGAATTTCTGAAAAGAATTTTATTATTTTTAAAAATTTGAATAATATTCTTTGTAAGAATTTAATTATTTTCAAAAATCTTCATAAAATTTCTTAGAAGAATTCAATTATTTTCATAAATAATGAATTTTCTTTGCATTATTAACATTTTTAAAACAAAATTTATTAAAATCCTAAGAAAGTATTTAATGATTTTCAAAACTTTTGATAACATTCTTTAGAAGAATTCAATTAATTTCAGTACGATTTTATTCAATTTTCTTGGAAGAATTTTATGATCTTTTAAAGTTTTTAATAAAATTCTTCGAAGAATTCAATTCTTTTCAAAAATTTTAATAAAATTCCTAGTCAAGAATTAAATTATTTTAGATTCGAAATAGTAACATCATTCACTGTGAATATTGTTATTTAACATTATTGGCTATTAATAATATTGACTAATATTAATAGAAAAAAATTAAGTTTTAAATTCAAGTAGGTATTCAAAATATTTCCAATTTTACGAACCGAATTTAGATTCTTGAGTTGGAGCTGATGTTTCTTCTGGTTTAGGTCTCGGTGGTTTTTTAGGAATCGCAAGATCAATTTTAGGCACTTCTTTCTGAAAAGGAAAAAAAAACAAAAGACGACTTTTACACATAACCCTTTTTTAAAAATATTTCGCATAAGCTCTTAATTATTTTTAGTTTTATAAATAGTGCCCCATTAATAAAATTAGACAATCACTGTTTTAAAAATTTCCTTACTTCATTACTCGCATTCTTGAGTTCACTGAGATTTGCGTCATTAATTTGTTCATTTAAATTTTCAACCGGTTTCGAAGAAGTTTGTAATTTCGATTTTCTTCCCTCATTATCTGAATCAGAACTCGAATCAGAATTATCTGAGGAATCTGATGAATTTGACGAAACTGACGAGAGTAATTTAATTGCAGTGTTCAATTGATGTTGCGTTCTTTCCGAATAGGATCCAATTTTCCTGAATAACAAGAATAATTGTCAAAAATAATTATCAACAAAAGTAATTATTGTTCTGAAGAAATATTTATCAACAGAAATAATTAACAAAAAATGGTTATCAACAGAAATAGTTAGTAACAAAAATATTTATAAACAAAAATAGGAAAATAATAATAACAAAAATAATTGTTAAGAAAAATAGTTATCAAGAAAATTAATTATTAATGTAAATAGTTATCAAGAAAAATAATTATTAACGAAAATAGTTATCAAGAAAAATAATTATTAATAAAAATAGTTATCATCAACAGAAATAATTAACAAAAATCGTTACCAACTGAAATAATATTAAATTTATAATATAAACTGCTGACTTTATTTATAAAATTTATAAATTGAAAATAACATTTGCTAAACAGAAATTTTGTGTTTAAAAATTTAAGCGTTATAATTATTATGTAAGTTAATAGTTTGTTTACAGTTTATTTTTTATTTTCTAATTATTAACTTAGAATTATTATATATATTTTTTTAATTAAAATAATATTTTGTTACAGTTTAATATGAAGAGAGGTTAGAATTGACAAATGTCGGTGTCGAATGGAATGAACTCACCTTGGAAACACTCGTAAGGACAATATTCTATTAAGTAACATTTTTGTGCTACAAACAATGGTAACAAATTGTCAATACAATAATAAGTCTTTAACAATTTTTATTTATATACATTTAGTTTATTTTTGCACTCATCTTGTGAACGTTTTTGCAGAACACATGCTGAATGGATCGGAACTGGATCGGAACAAAAATCATAGATAGCGTTGTCGTCGATGTCACGTGATACTTGGCGGGTAAGAACAAAAATTTTTATTTGAAAAAAATCTACAAAAAAAACACATTTTTTATTTTATATTTATTTTTATAAACATGCGAAAGGTCTTTAAATACAAAAAAGAGTGTAAAAAAGGGAGGATATTAATAAAATTGCACTAAATAATTATAATTATACAGAAAAATTTAATTATAATTTTAAAAAAAGGCACAAACGAATTTATTGTTAATAAAAAATTATTAGATTACATTTGTTTTGTCATTTTTTTTAAAAATTATTATTTTCTTTTTTACACAATTAATTTCAAAAAAAAAAAATTAGAAACACGCGCTGAACGTATTATAGTAATTTTTATTACTGAGCTTAAAGTAATTATATTATTGTCCTCCTTATTCATGGCCATGATCGCTTTAGAATTTGGGATAATCATTTCATTGAACGAAACTATTCACAGTCTGAGAACAAATTCGTCTACTTATTTCATTTATTGAAGCAAATTAATTTTATTTTACTTTTAAAACAATTTTAGATTCAAAATTCGAAAAATTTTAAACTTATAAACGAATTAACTTAATTCATTACTATCTTTAAAACTTTAATGATATTATTTGCAAGGTTTCAACTACATATTTTCATAAATAATAAAATTTCCCACAGGGATTCAAATATTTAAAAAAAAATTTTAATTCTTCACAAACATTAAATTATTTTTTTGAAAATTTTAAGAAAATTCTTCGAAAGAATTCCATTTTCTATAAAAATAAAATTTGCTAACACAGAATTCAATGATTTTTATTACGAATTTGATTAAATTTCTCGAAAGAATTAAAATATTTTTAAAAGTTAGAATAACATTCTTTCTAAGAATTCTATTATTTTTATAAATTGAATTTTAATTATTTTCAAAACTTTTAATAAAATTCTTGAAAAGAAATTAATTTTTTTCAAAATTAATTACAAAATTATTTATTTCCAAGTACCAACTTGAATTTTTGACTAATTTCAGATTCAAAATTAAGAAAAATTAACTTATTTAGTAAATAACTAATTAATTATTGATATTTATTAATTGCAAGAATTTAATTATTCTCATAATATTTGAAGAATTCAATTATTTTCAATACAATTTTAATAAAATTTCTCGAAAGAATTAAATTATTTTCAAGAATTTTGATAAAATTCTTCAAAAGAATTCATTTATTTTCAAACTTTTTGATAAATACTTCGCAAAAATTCAATTATTTTCATAAATAATAATTTTTTTTCAAAGAATTCAATTATTTTTTATGATAAATAAAATTTTTCTTAGTAATTCAAATTGTTTTCAATACAATTTTAATAAAATTTATCAAAAGAATTCAATTATTTTCAAAAATTTAGATGAAATCCTTGAAAGGAATTCAATTATTTTCCAATTTTTTGATAAATACTTCGCAAGAATTAAATTATTCTTATAAATAATAATATTCTTTTGAAGAATTTAACTATTATTTGTATGTATAATAAAATTCTTTTGAGAAATTCAATTATTCTCAAAATACAATTTTAATAAAATTTATCGAAAGAATTCAATTATTTTCAAACTTTTTGATAAATAATTCTTTTTAAAAAATAAATTTAAATTAAATTTAAATAATTCTTTTTGATAAATAATTCTTCTCAAGAATTCAATGATTTTTAATACATTAATTTTAAAAGTGAAAACATTTTTAATAAAAGTTAGGAAACAAAGAACTATTATCAATTGATATTTTCTATTATTAAATTATTAATAGTCGCTCGATATTTCTTTCCAAAAAAAAACTTGATTTCAACAAAAAGAATTATTTCGGAAATTTATTTTTATTTTTATTCTCGTAGAAAAATGACTTGTCTCTCGCTAAATGTCATTCGTCTCTCACTTTTAGATATTGTACCGTTTTTCCGAGGTTCAAAGACCGGTATACGACAATTATAATAACTTTTTTGCAACTTATTATTTAACCTCTAAACTAAAAATTCTGAAATAGTTTATATTTATATATTTATTTAATTATATAAGATTTAAAAAAAAAAATTTCAACTTAAATATCAACAAAATAATTATTTTCAAGTTTTATTAAAAAAATCTACACAAGAATTTGGCAGAAAAAAATAATTTAAAAAAAAGAAATTACCGTGTAGTCAAAAGTTACCACTTCGTGGAGAATCGCCCTTTATTTATATTCTGAATAACCATGTTCTTGCCTCTTTTTCTGAATAGCTATGTTCTTGCGCTTTCTTTTACGAACAAGTGTATATATTTCGCTAACCCGACGATAAATGAAACTATTTTTAAAAATGAAAAAAAGTTTTGTCTTGCAAGTTCATCAACATTTCTTGTTACGTAAACATATTAAAGTATTATTATATGAATACGTTTAGTAAATATGTATTTTAAATTAGTACATATAACTCATAATAATTTTTAAAAATTTATTCATGCAAGAAAAGAAAAAGGAGAAAAAAAAACATTGTTGCTCACTACGTGAAATGCAGTTATTTTTGTACATTGTGAAAAGTGTTCTAATTCCATCTAAGTGTTCTAATTTTCAAAGCATTATTATTACCGCAATACATTTCAAACAATGCTCATTATTCATAAAAATGTTGTATAGTTTTGTATATGACAATTTTTTTGACCTCAAAAAAGAAAAAAAATAATAATTGTAAATATTTAAATTTACGGAATTATCACTATTATTATTTTGTTTTCTTTATTGAAATTTTGAACGATTAATTTTTATTTTCGATTTTTAACGAAAAATTTTTATTTGGAATTTTTAACGAATAATTTTTTATTTGAAATTTTTAACGAATAATTTATTTATTTCAATTTAAACGGACAGAAAACAAATTATACCCAGTTTTTTATTTTTAATTTTTAACGAATAATTTCTTTTTGAAATCTTTAACAAATAATTTCTATTTGCAATTTTTAACGAATAATTTCTATTCGAAATGTTTAACTAATAATTTTTATTTGAAATATATAACGACTAATTTATATTTAAAAGTTTTTTTTTAATTTTGTTGGCAAAAAAAAAACTAAATGAATTTATTAATCTATTTTCTTTATTAATAATCTTCTAGTTCCAAATACTATTTTTTTCACAGTTTAAAAGTTAGTTTTCTTTGTTTGCGCTTTCTTGTTTCCTAATTTTTTTTTTTTTTTGATAATTTTTCTTTTTGAATGTTTTGAATTTTAAATTCAAGAAATTCTAATCTAATATTTTAAAGATTGAATAATAAAAACAATTAGTGAAACAAAATTGTTTTGAATTAAAAGCGTCAATTTAATTTAATAAATTAATTAATAAAAACAATTCGATAATTTGCGTAAGAAAATTTTTTCCATTTTAAAAATAAATATTTTTGTTGAGACAATTTTTATAATTTTTGCTAATTTTAAATTAATTTTTGGAAATTTTTTAAAAATTTTTAATAAATTTAAATTAATTTAAATTAATTTTTAATTAACTTTTAATTACATGAATTTGAAAATTTTCCGCTTTTAAAGCTGATTTTCAAAAATATAATTTTTTTATCCACTTTGAAAAATTGCAGTTGATCTTAAAAAATAAAATGCTTCGTTATTTGTATTTGTAAAATAATAACAACAAATCAAAAAGAGAACATTTCGCGTCTAGCACTTACTAATTTAAAATAACAAGGAACGTAATTTATAAATTTTTCTCTATTGTTTATTGTCCTGAAATTATCATTTAACAAACAATGAACAGTAAATAATGAAAGAAAAATTTATGACCTTTTTATTAAATACAAATAAGACTGTTTATGAGTATAAAATTAAAATAAACATAATTCTAGGTATGTACCTACTTTTATTAGTTTTTTAAAAAATTATTAACTGTTCATAATTCTTCATTAACTGTTTCAATTTTAATTGACATTAAATGAGAAATTTAGTAATTAGTATATAATTATTTTTTCAACTTAACAATCTTTGTAATTATTTAGAAAAAAGAAGGAAATAAATTTTTTACAAATTTTAAATAGAAAATTGTGAATTTAGAAAAAAGGGAAATTTTCGATTACAAAATTTAAAAACCCCGAAAAAAATCGAGAGTTGAGAAAATAATTATAATGAAAATAAAATTAGTAATAGTAATTATTAATTAGATAATTAGTAATTAGTACCATTACTTTTTGAATAATTAACCATCTATTTAATTATCACAAATTATTTTTGACCTTTTCTTTCAAAATTTATTTTTTTCACCTAAAATTTGCAAATAAAAATTTTCAATTTTTTAATAGAGAATTTTAGGCAAAGAATAATATATTAATAATAATAAAAATAATAATAATAATAGTAAATAAAAGTTGAAGCGGAAAGTGTCGCGACTATCGGTGAAGTATAGTTTAAAATCATCTTACAAGAAGTTGCGAGTTCTTTTCAGTCAGTCAGCCGGTGCGTTCCGTGACGGCAAGTGTGGCACGTGATATTCGATTGTGCCTCTCTTTTAAATTATAAAACCTAATATAAAATTTATTTATTTTCTCTTCTTTTTTTTTTAAATTTCATTGAAATTTAATTTCGAAAATTTTTTTTCAAACAAATAAAGTGTAATATTTATTAAGTGCCATTGTGAATGATAAATTGAAAGAAGAGAAAGGATTTGAATATTTTGGATTTATTGAAGAAAATTGTCACATCTGCTCTCACTCGCACCTTCTTTTAGGTATTTTACTTTATATATTGTATAGAGATATACATTTATAGTTACCTTTTACTCATACGCAATATAAACTTACGTAAGCAATATATTTGATTATAAAATTGAAACTAAGGAAAAAAAATAATTTTTTAATTCTTAAAATTTTCTATTTACAAAAAAAGGGAAAACAAATTTTCTTTTCCAATTTTTGAATTAGAATTCGTTTCGTAATTTTCTTTTCTTGTGCACGGTGACTAAATTTTGTTTTTTAACTGCTTTTATATCTGCAAGTCATGGAAAAAATTTTCTTGAACATTTCGAAGAACTTTAATTTTTAATTCAATTATCGAAAATTTATTTTAATTCTTGCGCGTTTTTTAATTTTATTGGGTGGTGATAATAATTTTTTTTTATTCTTAAGCCAGTTAATACTGTGGAAACAGATTTTGTAAATGAATAAATACTAAATAAATAAAGAATAAATTATGATAATAAATAATAAAAATAATTTTGTGAAAGAATGGTCAAAATAATAATAAAAAAATAAATTATAATGACTCTAGTAATAATAATTAATCACAAATAATTAAAATCATAAAATAGTTTTCAAAAATTTTAAGAAAACCTTTTATTGAAAAATACAAAATTATTTAAAAAATGAAGTAATTATGTTTAAAAATGCTAATTACTCATTTAAATGTATTTATAATTACGAAATGTTATTCTCGTTCATTGACTTTCGGAAGTAATCACAAAAGTTTGTAAATATTACCCGGAAATTTACAATTGAACCACTTTAGGAAGCTTAGTACTAAATGTAAACAACTATTTTGAAGAACTTTTCCAAATATAAAAATTAATTCAATAATGTTCCAATAAATAAATAATAAACTAAATAAAAAACTTAATACGAGAATAAATCTCATTAATTATTTAAACTCCATTGAAATGTAATTATTTTGTTTAAAAAAAATTAATTAATTAATTAAATAAATATTAATTATTTTACCATACAAACTAGGGAAATATTTGCAAAAACTATTTTTTTTTTATCTAAAAATCATAAAAAAGAAAAGAAAAAAATTTTTAAAGTTAGAAATTTGAATTTAAAAAAAATTCTATTTAATATTTTTTCATTACAATGAAATTATTATTATCAATAATATATTAACAGTATATTAAAAGATTAGTAAATTGACTTTAAGATATAAAGACATTTAAATGAAAAAATACAAAGTTGTTATGAAATGATTATGATGATAATAGAAAAGTTTTTCACTATTTTTAAAAATTGTATATATATCTTCATATGGAATAATATCAGGAATTATACACTGATTATATAAATACTTTATGACATTGAAAACAAAAAAAAGAATACTTCATCTCACTGTACAAGATTGTTCATAAATCAGAAATGCACTTTGTATGTTTAACATTTATAAATACATTTTTTTTAAATACTTCTCGCGTAATCACACCAACTAAAAAAATGAATATGATTTATTTCATTTTTGTTTTTTTTTTTTTCTAAAAGTCAGGAATAGAAATGTTTAATAGTTTTCTTTTTGCATTTCAATTTAGTATTTTTTTTTTTTTTTTGGTAAATAAAGTTTTCTTGTAATTACTATAAATTATTTATTTTCTGTTTTTTTATTTATAAAAGTATTTAGTAATATTATAAGTTATTAATTATTATAGTTGCTACAAATTAATTAGTTTATTTATTTAAATTATAAACGGGTTTACAGATAATAATAATAATCGAAATTTAATTCTTTTGAAGAATTTCTTCGATTTTTTTTTAAATAATGGAGTTTCTTTAATAATTTTAATCGAAAATTTTCAAAGTAATTGGATTTTATGAAGAATTTCTTTCAAAATTTTAAAGTAATCATGTTTGTTATTAATTATAATTAAAAATTTGATTACTCAATTTTATTAAAATTCTTTGGAAAATAATTGAATTTATGCGAAAAAATTTATTGAAATTTTCAGAAAATAATTGAATTCTTTTGTAAAAATTTTATTAAAATTCTTTTGAAAATAATTGAATTTTGGAGAAGAATTTTATTAATTATAAAAATAATTGAATTTATGCGACAAATTTTATTAAAATTTTCAGAAAATAATTGAATTCTTTCAAAAAATTTTATTAAAAATTAAAAAAAAATAATAATTGAATCTTTTCGTGGAATTTTATTAAAATTTTATAGAAAATACTTAAAATCTCGCAAAGAATTTTATTATTTATAAAAATAATTGAATTTATGCGAAAAATTTTATTGAAATTTTCAGAAAATAATTGAATTCTTTCGAAACATTTTATTAAAAATTTTAAAAAATAATAATTGAATCATTTCGCTAAATTTGATTAAAATTTTATTGAGAATACTAACTTAAAGTTCTGTAAAGAATTTTACTATTTACAAAAATAATTTACATAAATAAAAACGTACAATTAGAAAAGTTGATTTAAAAAAATTTTTTTTTTAATAAACTACTCGTGGAAAATAAACATTAAGATTATTTATTTATTGTTTATTTGATTTCTTTTTAGTAACTAAATGAGAAAAACTTAGTATTTGCTCATTGTTTTTAAAAATTACGAATTAATTTTCAAGTAGGTAACTAAATTTTTAAATTTCTTTTAAAAATATTTCTTACTATTTTCTTCTTATTCTGTACATTTCATGAGAAAATTTTCTTTACTTTCTCGTGATATGATATGAATCAATAGTTTAATAATGTATCTTATTATTTTCTCCCCAGAGAATGAAATTCACGATTAAACTTATGATATGAAATAAATGAAATTTAATAATTAAAAGAATCAATTACCAATCAACGAATAAATGTAAATAATAAAAATTTAATCTCTGGTTGTTTTTATAATTATTGGAAATATTTTTCTTTAGAAAAAAAATTTATTTTTCATTCAAAATTTTTTAGTAATAAAATTAAAATTTGGTTTTGTTCAAATTTTTTTTTTCGTAATAAATAAAAATTTGTTTTCGATACATTTTTTTGTTAACTAAATTTTTACATAAATTTTACAAGATTCAATTTCCAAATTAAATTTTTGATTATTTTTAATTAGAAAAATATTTTTCTTTAGTAGAGAAAATAAAAAAATGTTTTCCCTCTAAATCTTTTTCATTATAGTAATAAAATATAAATTTGTTTAAAATTAAAAATCTTTTTATTTATGTAATAAAATTAAACTCTGGTTTTTCTTTGAAACCTTTTTCTTCAGTTATAAAACAAAAATTTGTTTTCGTTCAAAATTTTTTTTCAAAAACTAATTTACAGTATATTTAAAAAAAATAGTTATTAAATAAATAAAGAAATATCTTTATAATAAAAGGAAAAAATAAAAATAGTGGAAATTAATTTAATTTATAAAATTCGTTCAATAATAATTATTTTTAATAACCAAAAAAATGGATAAAATCTAAAAAAAAGTTTTTAATTATTATTTAATTAGATTAATTTTGTCCCGGAATGAATTAACATATTTTATTATAAAAAAAATATTCCGTGAAACATGAAATATCATAGAGCATATATTTAAAACTATATAGTCACTGTATTGATTCTAATCATTATGTTTAGGTCTGAATGAACCGCGAGAGTGATGGAGGTCAAATATGTTTTTATCTGATTTTTTTTTAATATATTATATAAATTATAAAACTTTAATATTACTAATTATTTAATTTATTTTTAATTTTATTTTATTCCAACATGTAAATATTTTGGACTATATTTTATTTATTTTTTAAATGAATAAATAAATGAATAAATAAATAATTGAAAAAATAAATTAATAAACAAATTGATAAAGAAATAAATGAAAAAATAAATTAATAAAGAAATTAATAAATCAATTAATGAAAAAATAAATTAATAAACAAATTAATAAACAAATAAATGAAAAAATAAATAAACGATAAATAAAGTATTCTGTAAATAAAATAATAATAAAAATTATAATAATTATTATAATTATTATTATTATTATTAATATAATAAAAAGTCAAAATAATAATAATAGTGGTAATAATAGTAATAAAAATAGTTATAATAAATGTGAAATAAATTTTACAATAAATCAAATTAATAATTATTATAATTATAATAAATATTATTATAATAAATAGTGATAATAATTATTATTATTCTAAATGGAAATAAATATTAATTTTAATTTTATAAAAGTTACATCTAAAATTATTAATTTACAATTAATTATTATTTTTACTTTTTTTTTAATTAATTATTTTTACCCACTAAAATTATGGATTTATAAATGAATTTTATTTTCGTCACTAAAAAAAAAATTTTCCAATCTGATGTAATTTTTCAGAGATTAGCAATTTGTGGGAAAATGAAATATCGTTGTTGCATAAAAGAGTTTTCCCTGTTTCCTTTTATGCATATTGATTAAACCTGATATCGAACGTGTGCACCAAAGAAAGTAACTTCGAACAAAGTTTTCTAAAGTTTCTTCGCACGTGTTATGAAATTTTTTTTTTCCTAATTCTAAAGCGATTATGAAAAATATTAAAAAATTGCTTTTTTTTACACTAAAAAGAAAAATTTTTTTACGAAAACTTTTTTGCCAGCAAAAGAACTTGATTTTTTAATATAACTAATTAACGGTTAAATATTAGGTAGGATTTAAAAAATATAGTGTTACGATTATGAAGAATTTTTTGTTTTTGTTTTTTACACTAGAAAAGAATTTTTTTTTAACTTTTTTGCCAACGAAGAAACTATTTTTTCTAATAGTAACTAACAAGTTAGATATTAGTTATTTAAAAAAAAAATACCGAACAAGAAGGAATATTCGAAAAATTGCGACTGTATTCGAGGACAAAAATATTATTTTACCCCTGGTGGGACTCGAACCCACAATCCCCGGTTTAGGAGACCGATGCCTTATCCATTAGGCCACAGGGGCTCTTGGCAGAAATTTCGGTAAATAGAAATAGGATGGATTTTTTTTTTGTGTGCTTAAA